TATCGTCACCACCTTTTTGTTTAGTCGCCACTGTAAAATCATTGGATTATTTGAAGCAGAAGACATGAAAAATGAGCAGTGCCCTCGCCGAGACTTGAACCTGAGGCTCTTGAATACGTGCCGATTGTGCTAGCGTTTACACCACGAAAGGCATGCTGAAAGCAGGGAGAAAATACCTTACATAATAACTTTTAAGAACTTTTGAAATATTATTGAAATTGATAAAAGGTATTTCTAATGCCATATATTATGGTACAAACTCGTTTCATTTATTTATTTATGCTAAGACGCAATGGGAAAAGCTTAGTGTGCGAATGGATCTGCAATCTGAAATGTCTGACGGAAATCATTACCTTAACAAGCATTTTGGAAACACAGTACCTAGTTTGTATTTACATTCTTTTTTTCTTTCTTTATTCAGTTACAAAAAGAGTAGATGCTGAGTAACAATTTAGTATTTTCAAATTTATAATATATTATAATTTATTATTTTCATAAGCTGCACCAGTCGATGTGGTGTTTAGGGAGGCTGACTACCACGCCGATTAGTACTGTTTCCTTTTTTCTTAATAATGAGACGAAGAAGTCTGTGATCGTGGAATCTTTGCAGAATGGGGCATATGAAATTCGTAGAAAATATGTTGGTCTATTTGTTTGAATACACGAACTCCGATAAAAAAGAGATTTGTGTATTTGTTTGAATACTAGTTAAAAGCAGTTTTAATTCGGTTTCAGTTTGTTTCAGCTTTTACAATGAAAAAACTTGTAAAAGGCCAGCATAATATATTTGTAAAAGTCAGCAGTTTCAAATAATCTTAATTATAAAACCTTACTCATTTAGATCCACTAATTGATTGTCCACATATAAGTCCATAATGCAACCAGAAAAATGAGCATTTTGAATTCGAAAATCATTCAGTACAGCAGGCAGTCCACCTATTTGAAGTGGTCCAGTTAGATCTAAATATCTATAACAGGTTTGCATAAAGTCCGCACACCTAAGAAATAAAAGAATAGTTACAATATTTCAGTGAGACACAAGAATATAATGAAAGTTTGAGAACTAATGGAATGAACGTGTAACTTATTAAAATGTTTCTGCCTCTTGAATCCGCAACTTCTTTTTATCTGTGCTTTTGGTTTAACTTTAATTTCAAATCTCGTATCTCATGTTTTTAAAATTTGCATCTTTTACCGCCAACGAAGAAAGTCTCTTCACAGCACATTAAAATCATACAAAATAAAACAATACAAAATAATACAATACTATTCACTTTTTAGATGCATGTTATGTTTAACAATACATTCTTAAGAAACAAATGCATTTATTAGCCAAATATTTTATTAAAGAGAAAAGTCTCCGGAACTTATGCAAGCAACTGGCTAAATTTAAAAACACCGCATTCTGTTTAATCTGACAATTCAGTAGGATTTATAAATTTAGAATTCAACATGAACCAAAGAAGTGGTAACTTATTTATTGAATAAGATCTTTGAATAACGTCTGTAAAGTACTAATTTGGTAATATGCAGTGTTGTCTTTCTAGAGCAGTTCGGATGCAACAATTTCTATGATGGTCGGGTAAGTCCATGGAGGCAAAAATAATGTATTAAACGCATTTAACTAATTAAATAAAAGGTGATCTAATTAAAAAATGAGCATTCATCATAAAGTGACTGTGATTTTTTTATTTAAAAGATACCTCAGAAGCTGAAAATCATCTCAAAACTGAAAAATGTATTTCAGAAAGAAGCTCTGTAAATAGAAAAGAAATAATGCGTCATTTTATATTAATAATACAATTAACTTTGATTTAAATTTTAAATGTTAACCGAATAAAATTGAATTACTTTAAAATTTCATTCTAATGTAACTAACGAAAACTTGTGAAAACAATTCATTCAAATTAAAACTGCTCTGAAAAATATTGCAGAAACCGAAAATATGTACATTTACACTTATATTTACCACGTAATTACAAAATGTTTACCTCCGATCAGATCAAAACCTATTGATCCCCTCAATGGCAAGTCACTGAATATTTTGGTCACCAAGGGGGGTGCGTCACTGCTTCAAGGCAGTGTATGGGAAAAGACAGTTCGAAACTCTTCTCTATTTCTTACCTCCATGGGTAAGGCGCATGCAGTCTAAAGTAATTCGTAACGATCAAAATATGTTCAATAATAAAAACGATCACTGATGTTTATGCGGATGCTTTCCTTTATCCCTCTGTTTCTGCCTATTTGCGTTAAATGACTGCAGTCTTTTTCTTTCTCAATCATTGATTGAAAGCACAAGTTCTTCGACCAAATGTTATCAGAACCTCACATATATGATCTAATTGCTCCCCCTTTATTCATTGACCAAGTTTCAAGTGATAAAAACTACTTAACACCAGTCGTTCGCCTTGGGCTTGATTTCGGCGAGCAAACACTCTTGCTTTAAGGGATTTCCGCAACTCTTCTCATACGCAATGCGAGTATGACCCAAATTTTTTTCAATGTCCTTTATGGATGCTTTTCTCCTAAAACAGAGAACTTGTACTTTTTTCCCATAATAAATTACTAACCCCCCTAGTTAAAATTCAAATTCGCCTAGCCACACTAACAAAGATGTCGATGATAACTAATTGTCTAACATCGGTGCATTATGCAAATATGTTATTACTTAGGTCCACTTATCCTTTTTAAACTCCATGCTCGATTATATTTACCTGTGCACCCTGACTGTAGTTATCAACTAATGTTCTAAGAGCCTCCTTATTAGTTCATGAGGTTCCGCAATACTCTACTTCAAATAAAAATAACTTTCCCGTGGTGCTTTCTTTTCCCCTCTCCACAATCATTGCATGATGCTTAAAACAGTGATGGTATATTGGCATACGTCCTCGCGTCATTCAATTTAATTCGTTCCACCGTTAAGTTTAAATTAGTTTCCACCGATTTGACTTCATAAAGATAAAATTATATGTGCGATCAATATAATATTATTGTCTGTTTCTTTAAAATAGGCATTTCAAGGCCGTTGCTCCACTCCCCATTTGCGATCATAATCATGTCCTCACTACCTCACAACACTTATTTTCTCCAGCTCATTTTAGACTGCAGTTCAAGACCAGTTCATTAAGCGAAACACGCTAAACGGAAATAAAGTTGACTGCTGCAGTTTTCGTTCCCATTACAAGGCAAGTCGGATGGTGGTAAGTGAACTTGAAGTTCTTATTTTAAAATAATAGACTCAAGCAAATAGCGTTGCTCTTGTTGAGGTGACAGTACGACTTCGCTCAGTTCCGCTCACAATTTTGATGGAGAGCAGCCCGGGGGGGGAACGGGTCCGAAGTTCTCCCACCCGTCTTTCCCTAATACCAACCTCTTGAGAGAACTTTCAGCTCGCCGCGTAGAGTGCTCTCATGCATCACAGGCACTGCACATTTACAAGCAGCCCTGCCTTCTTCGGGATTCGAGCCTGGCCCTTCGGTACAACAGTTAGCGTCTCTAACCACTATCACGATTAGGCGGCAAACAAATAGTACTTATTCAGTTCAACTTGTATATGCTCATCTTCTGCGTTGCATCATGTTTCCTGTTATGTTATACGCTTGGTTGGAATGTATGCCGATAAATGTTTGGCCATTTGCCAAATATGCGTGCATAATGTTTCTCACAAAATGAGTTCAACTGAAGAACTTATTGATTATGTTGGCCTATCAACATGTTTCTTTTTAGTCACCCTTTTCCCAGCATTAAGATTTTCGTGAGCTGAGATGCTTTATACTCCAAAGTATTTCAACACTCTTTCTCAAGACTAGATACAACCCAAATATATATTTTTCGCATAGTTCTTTGAAATTTCTATAGTTCCACTCAGTGATGAAAGACAATTTATTTTTCTAAACCAAAAACTTTTTCCTAATCTATCAGAAGCAAAATGGCCTTTTTGTTATATTTTTAATATCAAACATTCGGTCAAATCAAAGAAATCAGTTGCATTATGTTTTAAGCATAAAACTAAATCCGTTGTAGAGACATTAGGTATTTTTTGGAAGCAGCCAAGATGAAAAATTAGCAAACGCCTTCGCCCGGAATCGAACCGCGGACCTCTCAATTACGCTCTGAGCGTGCAAACCACTACACCATGGAGGTTCGCCAAGAAGGCGGGAGAAATAACTTATATACTCCCCCTTTAAAAGGGCGACTGGGGTTTTTAGGGGATACAATCGCCAAACTTGAGTGAGGAGAATCATCATTCAACACCCTTTTTCGTTCAGGCGCATTAGGTATTTTGAGAGACATTAGACATTAGGTATTGTGGAAGCATTAGGTATAGAGACATTAAGTATTTTGGAAGCAAGAGAGATGAAAAATTAGCAACGCCTTCACCGGGAATCGAACCACGGACCTCTGGAGTACCAGCCCAGCGTGCTAACCACCACACCACGGATGCAAGCTAGGAAGGCGGGAAATTATACGGTTAAATTAAAAATCGAATTTTAAAGTTTCATCTTTTAACTATCAAGCAGAGTTATTTTTATTTTTTAATTAGAATCTTTTTTACTTACGTTTTCTTCTGAATCATTACCTAATGCTAATCTTTTATTTCTCGAGGTTTGTCAGTGCACTGTACGATAGCCTTTATTTTTTCATTTAATTAACAGAATGATTAAGTGCGTAAATCTTTGTCAACTTAGAAATGATTCTGAATCATATACAAATTAATATAGAGGATATTCAGCGGAACATATCTTTTAATGCTAATTCTAGGCATACGTCTATAAATTACAACTTAAACATTTCTAAAAATAAGGAATAATCTTATTGAAATTTAAGTTCCTGTATACCTCCGTAAAATAGAAGTTAATTCCAATTAGCAAAACATTCATTACACTTTACGAAATTAAAGAAGAAAACTCAATGTTTTTACGTGCAAAATTTCAATTAGATAACCTAAATATCTACAAGAGGTTTAGAAAAGAAATTAACAACGAATGCCAAGACGGAAACATTCATCGCCAAACTGAATAATTTCTTTCTTCACTGCTCTTTAAATTTTCTTTCAAATGCCTGAAATTGCATCTCTACAGGACGAGACAAATTACCTAAGACGTCTCCTGTAAATATTGTTACGGATTTTGAATTTATTTAGCTATTTTTAGTAATAATTAATTAAAACTGTTTTATATTCCCGTGCAATGCAGCACGAGACGCATTTGAAGAGAAATTAAATAAATCTATGCCGAAAAATTAAAAATACAGGAGCACGCGTGTTTAATAAATAGATATCTCGTAATTGTATGCTTTTGTTTTCCGGAAAAATCCAGAAAATACCAGAATATTCTTGTGCTTGACTTAAAAGCTTATAAACGCTGGAGGAAAACATCTCAATTCAGTTGCTTACTTGTTGCTCTTACTGACTGTAGCGAATTCGCGGTGAAATCGGATTAGCTTTCTTGGTATTTTGAATTGAGTTCTATTGAACGTTTCAGTAGTTCAAAATATAACTACTGTAAGATATTGCGATATTGTACGAATATCTCTGAAGAAATTTAAGCAGTTTGTATTCTATTCTTGGGATAAGGATAAATTTTATTTACTTGTCATCGGACTTGTGCATTCAACTTTTGACGAACCCGTACGCACGCAAGACTTTTTGGTGTCGGGATTGGGGTCTTGAATGCCAATTAAAAGAGTGATGGAAGAGCAATTCAGGCAATTGATGACTGCATTTCCTGCATTCCAAGAACAGATGGAAAGGGCCGTCAAATCTGTTAAATCAGAAATTAAAGCGGGTCAAGAAGAGATGAAGGCGGAACAACTCTCTGTTAAAGAAAATATAGAAACTGGTCAGGAATCAGTTAAAAAGGAGGTGCAAGCGATAAATGAAGAGATTACCTGTACAATAGAAAACAAATTTGAGGCTATAGAAGGCAGAATAGACGCTGTTGAAAATAGAGTTAAAGAACTTCAAGACAGCGTTTCTTCTGTCAAAGAACAAATAAAAGAGAAAGTCTCTTCTGTGGAGCAACGAATCGAAGGAAGTCCAAGGACATATCGAACAACAAATTTATGGCAGGGTTTCTACAGTTGCCAAACAAGTTGATAATTTAAAGAAATTCGTTTGCAGGGAACAATTCGGATGGTTTTAAATTTTTACGGATGCTTGCACGTCTGTCTCCGAAGCTCTCCACGTATGATGGGAAGACCTCTTGGCAAGTTCATAGCATGCAATTGTCAATAGTGGCGGAAGCGAATGGTTGGGATTCCCAAGCTAAGGCCTGTCATCTCGCAGCTTCTCTGAGAGCAGACGCAGCGGATATCCTGCAGACTCTTCCCGAAAACCAGAGATTAGACTTTGAAGCTCTATCCGGCGCATTGGAGCTGCGCTTTGGGGACAAATGTTTGAAAGACTACAATAGGCTTCAATTAAAATCCCATCAACAGAAGCCCACGGAAACACTCCAGGACCTCGCCGCGAATGTTGAAAGATTGTCTTACCTCACCTTTACGGAGTGCCCGAGAGAAAAAAAAGGGAAATCCTGACCCTGCAGTACGTCATCGATGGCATTCGGGATTCGGAAATACAGCAAGTTCTACGAATGGCGTATGTCAAGGACATAAAAAGCGCTCTGTTGTGCACCATGAAATATAAGGCAACCCAGCAAGCATTTCGTAGAGACCGCCGCTCAATCAGAGCTGTACGAATCCACGAGCCAGTGGATCAATTAATGTCTCATTTAGATGATTTGTCTCCAGACAAGTGAATACTTTGATACGGAATAGGAGTGAGAACAAACTGGCTCTAAAGTGTTGGAAATGTATTACTGAAGGCCATATACGACGGCACTGCAGAACACCACAGGGCATGGAAAATAAAACGGATAACTTGAGTCAGTGCCTTGAGACGGAATAGGAGTGAAAAAAAATCAATTCTAAAGTGCTGAAACTGCGGTTTTATGACCACATACGAAGAAATTGCAGAACACCCCAGAGCACGAAAATCAAGGCCATTTCCTAGCAATAACGGAGAAAACAAATTAATGACCATAATGACCATCGAGGAACGGAGGTTGCCAGATAATGAAAAACATCGTTTTAAAGCGCTCAAGATTTCTGCAGTGAGTGGCAACAATAATGGGCTATCCATCAATGGGCATATCGATGGAGTTCTTCACAATATGATCATTGACACAGGAGCCAATATTTACCATCATTCGGAAAGATTTGGCTCAACAATTTAAAAATAAACTCATTTAGACGTCATCCTATGTTACCCTCCAGACTGCTTCTGCTGATAAAATCGACATAGCTGGGAAGTTAAATGTGAACACCACGTTTCGAAATACCGCCTACCATCACACGACATACGGGGCAGAGATTACAAATCCCTGCATACTCGAATTTGACTTTTTAAGGAAATACAATTTTTCCTTGGACTTCAAAAACAACAGACTGCTTTCAGAATCAGAGGACATAACTATCCATCATCAGAAAGGATCCTCACCCTGAAACGCCGACGCCTTGTCTGAAAGACCCTGCTCAGAAAGCTGCGGAAATCATACTAGGGTCGAAGAGAAACGCAAGACTACCGGTTATCTTCCATCTCAGACCTTCGTCTGCCTTGTAATCTTCTGTTTGGTCGCCCTTCTGATGCACCTTCATCACCTGAAGAATACGTCCAAGATCTCTAGGCCCGGTTTGAAGTGATACAACAGCGAGTCAACTTGGCGACGGAAAAGGTGAAGACCCGATACGACACGAGAGCTGCTGGACATCGATTCAACGAAGGAGACAAGGTGTGGTTGTGGAACTCGATTCAACGGAAAGGACTCAGGCCTAAATTACAGTCACCTTAGGATGGTCCGTACACAGTCCTAAACAACAGGCTGGTTCGGATCCGTAATGCATCGAACTCTAAGCCTAAAGTCGTTCATTAAGACAGGTTAGCCCCTTACTATGGCTATAGTACGTAGAGTACATAATTGTAAATAGTATAAGACCATAGTCCTTTTTGTTTATAAATTTAGTATTTGATTTGACTTGTATTTAGTATTTGATTTGTAGTTAGCATTTGAAAGCATTTGATTTGTTTGAAGTTACTTATTGCAATTATTGTTTATGTTGTTATTGTAATGTAATGTTTGCTATTGCATTTTTGTCCTAGTTATAAGTTTGGCTTCCTGTCCAGGGATTGTACTGCCCGAGACGTGCAATCTTTGAGAGGGAGCAGTGTTACGTATTTTGTATTTATTTAGCTATTTTAGTAGAATTAATTAAAACTGTTTTATATCCCCGTGCAATGCAGCACGAGACTTATTTGTAGAGAAAGCTACTCCGAAAATTTTAAAATACAGGAGCACGCGCATTTAATAAATAGATATCTCGTAATTGTACGCTTTTGCTTTCCTGAAAAATCGAAAAAATACCAGAATATTCTCGTGCTTGATTTAACAGCTTATAAAAGCTGGAGGAAAACATCTCAACTCAGTTGTTCACTTATTGCTGTTACTGACTGTAGCGAATTCGCGGTGAAATCGGATTAGCTTTCTTTGTATTTTGAATTGAGTTCTATTGAACGTTTTAGTAGTTTAAATATAACTACTGTGAGATATTGCGATATTGTACGAATATATCTGAAGAAATTTAAGCATTTTGTATTTTATTCTTGGGATAAGAATAAATTTTATTCACTTTTCATCAGACTTGTGCATTCAATTAATTACGAACCCGTACGCACGCAACAATATATTTCCAGTTACAAAAATTTTATAAATAAAATACAGAACAACCATAAAATACCATACCTTCAAATGCAAAATTCACGGAGATGCCTTTAACTGATACTTTAATATTACAAAATAAAGAGTTCTATGGAAATGCATGGACTGATATTTATGGGAAAATAAAGCTATCCAAACAAAGCGAGAAATTACCCTTCTAATTAAAAAATCCTGCATATTTCGCAGTAAACTTTGCTGAACATGGAAGAATTCAAAACAGATATTGTAGAAACTGGTAAGAAAATAACTGCGAGAATTTTTCAATGCATAGATTTACTAATCTCTCAATTACTAGTTTGCATAGGAATAAAATTGAATATTTTACTCGAAGAATATGCAAGCACGAAGATTTGCAAAGGAAACATATTCCTTATTCAAATTTAAATCAATATCTAATTATTTTGTTAATTAATGAAATTAAATTAAAATCTTGAGCTGTAAGTTACAGCATAAAATTTTATCATATAGTAAAACTTACTTTTTGTCTAATTCCCGAGTAGTTGTATTGGCACAAAAATAATTTCCAATCTGCTTTCCAAATTTCAGTGACAGTCCTGTGTCGCAATTATCAACGCTAACTACTGCAGTCTACGAAAAGGATAGAATAATAATTATAATAATAATAATAATAATGACAGTAAGAATAAATACATGAAATAACTTAAATCGTGATAATATCTAGGTGATACACTAAATAAATAAACTACAAGCTTCTTTTCGCTTAATACCACTCATCAATATAATGGTACTTCATTACACGAAACCTCTCTAAGAATAATTTGAGAAATTTTCTTTCAGTTTGCATTTTGCAGTTACACGTGGAATAAAACTCAGGTTAAACTGAAGGGTTTCCCTTCTTTTGCATAGCAAATTATTTTATGTTTGATACCTTTCCTGAACCTCTTATTTTCCCCTCCCATTTCCTCGCCAGGACGTAAATTTAAAGTTAAGTGAAGTGAGTATTTAAACGGGTGAATCTCTGAGTTTAATCAGAGCGTGTTTTCGCTAGCTAGCGCAAAGTCTGCTGAATTAGCTGCGGTATTTGTAAAACGCGGTGAGTTAGTTATTTTAGAGAGCCTCGTAGTTAGAATCTTGTCTTTATTTTCTTTTCAGGTTATTATTTTATTTTGACTGCCTAGTTGGCAAAGTTTGTAAGCGTCAAGAGGACGCAATTGTAAATTAGTACGTTGAATAAAAAGGGGACTTAAACCCTTTATAAGACTCTGTGGTTATACAAGCTTTCACAGTCACCTCTTGGTTGCGTGCTAGTTAGAGGCGCGCAACGTTATATTGGCGCCCGAACACTTATCGAACTGAAATGGCCGAAAATTGGATGGAAGCCGCTGGACAACACCAAGAAATGACAACTCAGTTAGAAGGATTTGGATACCTGGTCCAGACTTTGAGAGCATCAATCAAGCCAAACGTCTATTTCGACGGAAAACATTCGGTGTCCGTATTTTTAGAAGGTATAGAAAACCACTTTCCGCTCTATTCTGTGCCTGAAAGACAAAAAGTTGCTATTGCCACATCAGCACTAAGAGGACAGGCCGCGCTATGGTGGAAAAATATAGGAAAATTTCTACTAGGTGAATTTGGAAGCCCGACGTATACATTTGAAAATTTCAAAAAATCGTTAGTAAAGGCCTTCCCCATAGTGAAAGATCGCGCACGGCTGGAAGCCGAGCTATATAGTTTCTATCAACGGGATACAGCACAATTGACGGACTTTATTTTACGAAAAATCAAACTAACGGATATGTTGTATGGGAAAAAACCCGATGCGGAGATAATTGAAATAATATTACCAAGATTGTTACCCGCTGTCCAAGACTACTTTGAAATTAGAAACCCAACCACATTGCAGGAACTTTTCGAATTGGCGGTGAAATTTCAAAATCGCAGAATAGCGGAAAGAGCGAGAGGGGAAACATATTCTCAAAGTACCAGAAGGAAGGAGGAAACAAGAAATGGAAATCGCTCATATGGGGGAAAGAAATATCAAGCTAACGCATCGAAACTCGAAGGTCAAGGCCCAAAAAGAAAATTTGAAAATAAGCATCCGCGTACCCAGAAGACACAGATTGAAAGGAAAGCTTTAAACGACTAGAGGGGCCTGTGAAAGGGAGGGTCCAGACCCCGGATGTTTTAGAAAAACCCTCAAGTAGACATCTAAATACAGTCATCGTAAAAAACTCACAGCTACCAATTATACAAGTCCTGGTTGGCGATGTACCAGTAGAAGCCCTCATCGATACAGGAGCAGAAGGAAATTTCATGAGTGAAAAGTTCTTCAAAAAGAATTTATTATAGATACGACTATTCAAAACCAGAAATACGGAAATTATAGCGGCGCAAGGAAAAACACTGTCACTGCATCGGCAAAGTATCATTAAACTTACAGATAAAAGAGGAAAATCTCAAAGTATTAATTTTTGTGGTGAAACACCTCCAACACTCTCTTATCTAGATAGGGACTTTTTAAGGGCCGCGAGGGCCAAATTAAATTTTCAAGATAGTTCCGTGGTGCTGGAGATGGACCAGAGGGTGGTGGAACCTGCGGAGACACCTGAATTGGACCTTAGCCATTTGAGTGACCAGGAAAGTAAGCAATACAGCAAGTGGTGAGTAATTTTTCTCATTTGTTTTCAGAAAACCGGGAAACTGTCAGATCGTGACTCACAAGATTCAATTAAATGCCGAAAAACCTTGTAGGACTAAACCTTACCGCTATGACAAACAAAAAGACGTAATCATCGAAGAACATATTCAGGAGATGTTAAAGAATAAAATAATAACGCCCATAAATAGTGAATACGCGAGTCCAGTCGTACTATGTAGGAAAAAGAACGAGTTTCCTCCTTCGGATAAAAGGGCTTGGAGGTTTGCTATCGATTATAGAAAACTAAATAGCATAACTAAATTCCCAGTTTACCCTTTGCCGGTTATAGACGAGATCATTAGACAGATCAAATCGACAAGATATATGTCTACTTTGGACTTAACGTCTGGCTACTATCAAATAGCTATGAGACCCGAAGATATACATAAAACCGCGTTTATAACAAAATCGGGCACTTATGCATTTTTACGGCATGCCTTTGGGTTGTGTGGGGGCCCCATCAACATTCCAGAGAGCTATGGACATTGTTCTAAAGCCTGTCCTAGGAAAATCAACTTTAATTTATCTAGATGATATAATTATAACGAGTAGTACGTTGGAACAACACGTTAATGACCTCGGACAAGTTTTTAAATTATTAAAAGAGGCCGGTCTTACAATTAACGCCTCAAAATGCAAGTTCGCAACTAAAGAACTTAAATATCTCGGTTATAAATTTCGCAAAAGGGTATAGAAACGCAAGATTCAAAAATAAAAGCTATTAAGAATTTCCCACCGCCCAACACCGCCAAGAAACTTTCGTCTTTCCTTGGACTATGTTCTTACTATCGATCTTTCATAAAAGATTTCGCTAATATTGTTGAACCACTCTTAGTAATCAAAAGAAAAAGAGTAAATTTACGTGGACGGCTGAAGCTAACACAGCTTTGAAAGATTAAAAGAAGCGCTTATTAATGCCCCTGTTTTAAAATTCCCTGAGGGGACGAAAACCTGGAAATTGCGGCAGATGCATCAGACTATGCGGTGGGGCGGTTCTTATGCAAAATAACCATCCGCTGGCATTTTTTAGTAAAACATTGAATCAAACACAAAGGAATTATACAGCTACAGAAGAGAAACATTAGCCGTATTAATGGCTGTACACAAATTTCGAGTTTATTTCGGCAAATCGCCAGTAACAGTCTTTTCGGATCATGCGGCGGTTGGTAGACTTTACTCGGGAAAAAACCTAACGCCCAGGTTTAATAGATGGGCTTTAAAACTCCAAGAATATAATATCACAAAAATATAAACCGGGTAAGGAAAAACAATGTAGCTGACGCACTTTCTCGTATAAAACTGGACGATGAAGGTAATGAACTTAAATGCGCTGTGTTGACTTCAAAAATTTTAGATTCTAGAGATACGGTTATTACTGAACTGAAAGCTGCTTATCCTGAATTTGGAAATATCTATGCTTATTTGAAAGACCCCGAAAGCTTTGAGCATACAGATATCGATGCGATAAGAAATAGAGCAAAAAAACTATGAAATAATAGATAATTTATTATTCTATACGAAAACAACGAACGAAAATCTTGAGTATAAGCCAGTCATCCCAGCCTCGCTTCGATTAAGCATTTTGAAGGAGTTGCACGAAAAAAAAACAGCGGGCCACCTCGGGGTCAAAAAGACTTTAAAAAAGGGTACGAGGCGAGGCGGTATTTCCCGCAATTATACAAATAGTAACGGCGTTATGTCAGGTCCTGCAATCAATGTCAGTTAATAAATATAATTATTACAGCCCGGCCGGGTACTTAAATAGCATTCGCGCTACATTTCCGAATGAAATTTAGGCATAGCATAGATCCTTGGTCCCTTCCCCCAGAGCGAGTTAAATAAAAATCGTTTTCTTTTAGTAATAGTAGATCATTTTTCAAAATGGATAGAATTGTTCCACTTAAACGCGCGTCAGCCAAAACAGTCGCAGATGCATTCTTACACAGATACATTTTAAAATACGGTGCACCGATAAAAGTCATTAGCGATAACGGAAAACAATTCATTAGTCAAATATTTGAAAACATATGCAATGGACTTGATATACGCCATATCAAAATGGTTTCCGTATAGACCACAGGCTAACATAGCAGAAGAGTTAATAAAAACATTGTAAAAATAATTCGCAGTTACGTTAGCACACATCACAAGCGCTGGGATGGCTACATAAATGAATTAGCTTATGCTTTAAGAACGGCACATCATGATACTACGGGAAAAACTCCAGCAGAATTATTTTTAGGCAGAAAGTTAATTACGCCTTTAGATAAATTATTCTTTGTGCAACAACAAAGAGAGCAGGAATTTAGACAAAAGGACGTGCAAAAGCTAATTGATCAGGCGCTTAAAACCTCGGATACGGCAAGAAATAGGCAGAAAATTATTTATGATAAAAAACGCCGTGAAGCAGATTTTAAAGTTGGGGATAAAGTATTGAAACGGAAATTTTCTTTATCAGTGCCCCAGACAAATTTATGGCAAAGCTAGCTCCAAAGTTTGAAGGCCCCTATGTAATTCAGGAAGTCAAAGGAGTAGTCTTATATCTTAAAAACGAGAGAGGGGAAATCTGTAAAGCAAGTCCCGACCAGGTGAAAAAACCTATATAATCCAAATGATTTTGAAATCCTTAAAAGTTTCTTGCAGGACTCAAGTCTAAACGAAATAGAAGGGCCAGAGACTGCACAACTATTCCACCACCCAAGAAACGGAGAACTGAAGAGAGACCTAGCACTTCTACAACCCGGACGTCGGTATCAAAAAGAAAAAATGAGTTTCAAACTCCGGCGTTTAAGAAAAAAAAATACAGATGAACCGGGTAAAGAAAACCCGTGGTAAAGACGAAAAACACCTACAAAAGATGGCAGGAGAAATTACACATCAAGGAGAACGCGCACACACGGCCACAGAGTCAGGTGCCAGCAAGGCC